GGGTTGAGAAGGCGGGAAGGGATATCGTTCGGATAGACAGACTAGGGAAGAAATTTTTGAGCCACCTTTGGCAAAGTAGAAAGGAACGATTGGCCATCGGTGATCGGTCCTGTGGGAACAATGCTCCGTCCTCTCGAGGACGCGTGGTCAATGGTCTAACCGCTAAGACATGCAAAACATAAGAGTACGCCCCCCCCCCACTTGCCATTCGATCCGTGTTCCTCGTGCGTCTGCGGGATCCCTCACCCATAGTTACACCTTACTCGTTTTTGTTGATTTATTCCTCCAACTCAGTGGTCTTCTTTTTTTTTTTCATTTTCTCCTCGTTTGTGTTGTTCTTGCTTGTTTTTGTTGCGTCCCCCTGTTCCTAGGACGCAGAGTCGGAGGCGTCGGTGCAGCAGGCCCTGGACAAGTTGGTCGAGAGGGGCGCCGGCAGCACCACCGTCGTTCTCGTCGCCCACCGGTAAGTCAGGAAAAGCAACACGACCGTGTGGCAGAGATGACGACCATCATTTCAGTCCGTTACATTAGTACAATAGCTCACCGACAACGACGCAATACCAATGGCTCGCTACGAAAATGGGAGGGAAAGATCACAGTCAAACGTACGATCAATGATTGGGTCTATTTTGCTCATCGGTGTGGATGAAACACGTGTGGACGAACGGGAGAACTCAAGGTCGAATCAAGAGCACTGCCGTCATTTCAAAGTGATTCATCTGCGACGAGACAACAAACAACAGCGCGCAATGGTGAAAATTGTCGACAATCCGTCTGCCAATAGTTCATATTTGCCATGCATGTGTTTGCCTGCGGCCTTACCTCACCGAAGGACTGCCTGTGATCGAGAACATTGTACCAATCAACAGCAGCAGGTTGTGTGCACAACATACTTTTGGGTTTTTGTCAAAGACGGAGTTGCTTCGCGCAAGTCCTTGTTCGGAAGAATGTAAATCCATGAAGTTGGAGTATCGCCGTCCGACTCATGAACATGTCAACCAGAGTGCCTTTTCACTTTGAAGTGAAGAGTTGGGATTGAGCGCTAGAGTTTGGGTAGTGAAAGAGAAGAGCGTTGAGAAGACGCGCCACTTCGCCATTCCACCGTCCTCTTATCGCACCATGGCATGTACAACCACGAAATGGTCCCGGCCCTCCATCCAAACATTCACCAAGTTAACCCCTCCCCGTGTACCTAAACGATTCATCCGGACCCCCCCCCC